ATTTTCCGAATTTCAAGTGATCGCTCGTACGATGGAAGTGCTTTTGAGTAGTCGCCCATTTTACCATACACCATACCAATGTTGTTGTAGGAAGTAGCTAAGTCGGGATGATTCGAAGGAAGAGCCATTTTCTTTATTTCAAGTGATCGTTCATACGATGAAAGCGCTTTCGAGTATTCGCCCATGTTTTGATACACCACACCGATGTTGTTGTAGGAAGGAGCCAAGTCGAGATGATTCTGAGAGAGAGCTATTTTCTTTATTTCAAGTGATCGTTCGTACAATGAAAGTGCTTTCGAATACTTGCCCATGCTATTATACACGATACCGATGTTGTTGTATGAAGCAGCCAAGGCGGGATGATTCGGAGGAAGAACTATTCTTTGGATTTCAAGTGCTCGTTCGTATGATGAAAGTGCTTTGGAGTACTCGCCCATGTTTTTATATACGATACCGATGTTGTTGTATGAAGTAGCCAAGTCGGGATGAGTCGGAGGGAGAGCTTTTTTTCGGATTTCAAGTGATCGTTCGTACGATGAAAGTGCCTTTGAGTACTCGCCCATGTTATCATATATTAAACCGATGTTGTTGTAGGAAATAGCCAAGTCGGGATGATTCGGAGGGAGAACTGTTTTCCGGATTTCAAGTGATTGTTCATACGATGAAAGTGCTTTCGAGTACTCGCCCATGTCTGTATACACTCTGCCAAGCTGATGATAATAATTCGATCGCTCTTTATCAGTAGATGCCTTTTCGATGAGTGTCTTACAGAGATGTTCTGCTTTTGCGAACTCTCCTAGATGAATAAGTATATCGCCCAATCGAGACCATCCTGTGCTCCATCTGAACTCTTCTCGCAGTCGTGCCGTAAGTTTATTAAAATCATCGTCTTGATTACCTTCAAGAGTGAGGTTAACTTGCCATAAGCGATCAGTATGTTTGTCTTCGATGCATTCTATGCGATCGATACGAAAAATTGTATGTGTCGAAAAAAGTATTTGTTCCTCTTGATCTTTGTAGTAGCCTACTTTGCTTACTTCGGCAAATGATGTAGATAATTTTGTGCACATAGCCGTATCAATTGTCATAACAAGGAGGATACCAACTGAAGTGGGATTACGTGTGGCTGGTCGTGCAAAGTTTTCTAGCGAAATCTTACGATCACGACTTGTCAACAGGAAATTATTGAAGGACATAAGACTTCCTTTGGTTTTTTTCATCTTTTCAAAGTCTTCATTGGACAAACCTTGTCCACGAAAGACTTGAAATTTTATTGGCACGCTGCCTTGTTGTTCGCGATGGAGTTCTGCGATATGATTATGTAGATGACGAATGAAGAAACCCATCTTAAGTATTATATTGACATCCATTTGTCGAAGTCCACGATTAAGCATTGGATAAATAAATGTTTCAGCTGTATACCACCATATTGGTGTATGATTATGATATTCATTTTCGATTGGTTTAATTTGATCTTCAGGAATATCATCCTGTTCACGACAATATTCAGCCAGATCTTTGATGGATTGTCTATAATCATCTTCGATTTCTAAAAGTGTTTCTTTTAATAATTGTGTATACATGAACAGAGGATCGAGACCATTAAAGCTAATCGAGATCATAGCTCGATCGCATCGTTCTCGATCGATTTCTAGTGCTTGACAAATTGATTTAATATCAGTATATACTCCTTTGACCTTTGATACAGTTTTAGTCCATTCTTCATGATATGATTCATTGTCACAGAAAACATATATTGTTTCTAACTGTGGCATTGCTTGAATTTCTGGTACTATTTGTCGTCCTAATGCACCAGATACAATCAAAAATATCTTTTCTTTTTTAATTTCACTAAAGAAATTAACACATTGTTGAGGATCCTTAAACGTTGTGATGGATGCCACAAGTTTTCGAAGATGTTGTAATGAATTTTTGAAATCTTCTTTCGTCTCATCAATATTTGCATCCAACCAGACTAGGAGAAAATTTTGTATAACCCGACGAACGGGTTCTGGCAGTGTGGCACTTCTGTTTACCACTGTTGTTGCTTCTGCTGCTACTGAAGATGATTTATTAGGCTTACTTGCTGCAGATGATGATGATGAGTCACCAGCATCTTCTTTTAAATTTTTATTGTCCATTATAACAGTAATGAGAACGGTGATGGTAACGACGTTTTCGTTTTTTTTAATTTATGTAAATAAATGAAAATATAAATACTTGTTGCAAATAGTACGAACCAACAAAAATAAAAGACACTTCGTCTCTGTCTCTAAAAAATGTTTTGCTTTTTTCTTCTTTTTATGTTGACACTTTCGTTTTTGTTTGGCTAGTTGTTATCGACTTCAAGGACTTCTTATCTCGAATGTTTGTTCTCTTATTTCAAAAGTGTTTATTGTATCTTGATTTATTATACGATCTATTTTAATCATTCACTGTGAATGTGATGAGTTAAAAGAAAATTTAGGGTGTGCTTGTGAGTGTGGGTGAATGGGTGCGGGTGAATATTGACATGATGCCAACACGTATTCACTCGCACACCCACACCCGCCCTTATAAATAGTTTCTTTGAAACCATCAGCATATTTCAATCTATTATCAATATGTTTATTATATTTCATCATACAATTTTGATAAAAATCTAATTGAAGATCTTTTTCATTCATATTGGAAATATTTGTCGTTGACAATCAGGATTGTAAACGATTATGTAATTGAATATAATCAGGATTATTTACTGATGGATCATCTGGAAATAACACATGAATTCTTTTTTTAATAACCTTTTGATTAAACGAAACATGACTCTTCGATGTGGAACGACTTTCAGACATTGTAAATAATCAAATTCCCTGTTGTATTCTAGAAAATAAATCAATCAATAATTTTTATCAAACAATTAGTTTTTTCTAGAGATGAATAAATCTTTCAAAAGTTATTAAATTAGAAAATAAAGCAATATCTTATCAAGAAAGAATTATCTTGATATTCTTCAAGAATAGCTTGTCGACTTTTTTTACTCTGTGAAATAGTGAACAATGTCTATCAATGATGTCAATGTTATGTTCAATCTTGAGAAATATCTTCCGGTCAAGCCAATCGAATTACAAGAATGGAACCACCGTTATTCACAACTATGTTACCGATATGAATACAATTAAAAATAAACACATCTTATTCTAAATACATTAAATTAGTTTAATAATATTAATATAAATAAAAGAAATCAATAATGAAGGTGCCACTATACGATAGATTTGCTTTCGAAAAAAAAGTTCATATCCATTATTATTGAAAGCCAACCATTTTTCATCAAACGCCTGAGCTTTAACAATTTGATTTTCTTAAAAGATGATATATAAAGAACAATTTGATTTTATTCCAGACATGGTACAAAGATTATTGTGACACTAAATGATCCTGTCAAAAATCGGTCTTTAATATTATAGGAAAAATTGATTTAAAAAAAAGTTTAAGTTAGTATCTGATTTATGAAAAACAAAAACAAATAGTAAAGTTGTAACAAGGGTGGGTGTGGGTGTGTGGGTGTGGGTGTGTGGGTGTGGGGTGTGTGGGTGTGGGTGTGGGGTGTGTGGGTGTGGGTGTGGGTGTGGGTGTGAGGATGGATGTGAGGGTGGATGTGGGTGTGAATGATGAAAATACCCACACCCACGCCCACACCCACACCCACACCCACCCGCACTCACACCCACCCACACCCACACCCACACCCACACCCACCCACACCCACACCCACACACCCACACCCACACACCCACACCCATCCACACCCACACCCTTTTTCAATAAAATGTTTCAGAAATACGAATTGACTTTCATATCAAAATTTTGAAAATATGATTTTGTAAAAAGCTGTTGTCCTGCTGGAAAAAATCACTAAAAATGCAATATCTTACCAGAAACAAATTATGGGCAGCTATCTTTCTAAGGTGGTAGATCATTGCTCATGAAGATCTCATGCATACATATAGTCTCATATCAAACCTGAGATTACATCTTGAAAAATTCCCTCATGAGGAATAAAGTTTATAAAAAAAAACAATTATGTTCAAGAATTCATATAATTTGATTTTTTTGTGTATCTTTGTATTAGTTAGAGATGTAAAGTTGAAATTTTAGTCAACGAAAGATATTCTATAGATATATACGTGATAACAATATCAATCTTGTACAGAAAGAAAAATTACGTTTAATATCGTTCATAATTCATCCTCAGTTATTATGAAACATCCTTTATAGTCGAGTAGCACTGACCTGTACTGGGAAGAAGTGCATCTGGAAAGAGCAAGGCCATTTTTTCTGAAAATATGGTTCCCACATCATAAATATGCCGATGATTATATACATGTTGAATATCATCAATATTTCCGAGAATAATAATTCGTGTAAAACCTAGCCAAAATTGAAATATATCACCGTATCGAGCTTTGAATGACCTATAGATATTGGGCAAAGTTTCTCGACCTTGTAAAAGACCGGATTGACGAAGATTGCCAAAGAAAAGTTGAGGTGGAAGTCCTGGTATCGGTTCGCGCAATGTAAAATATACGATTTTTATATAGATAAAAAAAAGTAAGAGCAATATGGCGACAAGTATTATTGGTAAAAGAAACATAATGATGGTAACGTTGAAAATGAAGTAAAAATGTAGTGAATACATGTATATGCACATGTTCTTTATTCGTCAGAGTAAACAGCTGAAAGGAAAGAAAAAAGAAACATATATTAGTGGTGTAAACCAGAGAGCGAAAGCAAATCGAATCGAATCAAATTTCTCTCAATCATTCATTTGACAGAGACCTCTTTTCTTTCTCATATATCGTTATGAATGAGTGCATTTGAATTTATAAAAAAGATGATCGCTAACAAAGAGCGTGTTATTTTATTCATTCCTAATGTTAATGAATTTAGTTGTCAGAACTATATTAGAAAGATACAGCATAAAGCTCATATTCATTAGTCACTAGGTCATTTCACTATTAAACATAATAATTATGGGAAATAAATGCATCGGCCAAAGTCACAAGTTGATCTGTTGTGAACTTTTCCTGATGTTCATGCCATGAATTGTAATGTGTGTGACGGAATTCAGACAAACATTTCTTTATTGACATCTAAAAAAAATGATATTGAGTATGTTCACATAGTAATAATCTAAATGTAGCACACCTGTATTGGATCAGGATCCTGTGAATGTTCACAGAGAAGTATCAATGCTTCTGGTACATTTTTTGAAATATCATATGGACTTGAAAGAACAATAGCACAGAGACCCAAAACACCTACAGTGATAATCAGAAATAGTATTATTAGCAAAATTAGTCAAGCATACGAGTTCAAACTTTCCTAGTAACTAGAATATTCGATATTTGGGTTTTTCAGCATGAAATCATGATTAATTAATCCATACTAGATAGATTTCAAAATGAAATAAGTTTCCTGCTAGGAAGTCAAATTTAAAAATTTTTCACAACGTTTTATTCCACGTCTATTTTGGTAAAAAAAATCAATACAGCCTAGATCCTAGATATGTATATAATAAATTAAGAATATGTCTGAACGAAATCGTTATTTGAGATTGAGATGCATTTAGAGTCCGAAAAATAGTTTTGTATGAAAAAAAACCAGTCCTTCCATCAAAAATCTACTGCGTATATGTTAGTTGATGCTTAAACTTATTTGGATTCATTGGTAGAACATATACTGACCACCATGTCGTTTGACAAGATTCTCAGTTGATGTCACTTTCTTGCCATCGATTTTCGTAAAGTAATGAGTCTTGCTCATAATATTAAAGTATTTCTGAAACCAAAAAGAAGTTAAAAATTGTATTAACAACAGAAAAAATAGCCATCCTACCAGATCTTCACGAGTCAATTCAATGTAGCCACATTGATAGAAACCTGATAAAGTCATTGATGCGATTGTTCGCACTTCCAAGTATTCATCGAATAGGCATCTACGTAAAAGTTCATTCAAGCATTTAGCATATGGACGAGCATTGAATAGATTGTAAAAGATCAAATTTTGAACAAACTCAATAGCTGCTCGACGTGCCTGCCATTTAGTACTTGTGCAAACCTATGTGACAAGAACGAGAGAATTTTTGTTATCTATTTGTGTTTGACATACCTTTTCCACTTGTTCAATGAGTGCTTTCAACAAATCTGCATGTAAATAAGTCATAGCAACACGCATTCGACTGATTGTCAATATATCTTCGGAGAAATTATGTTTCGCCACAATACTTTCAATTTCACATAGCTAAGAAAACAAATAAAAACGTCTACGTGTTCAAGACTAGGTATGGAAAGTAAAATCTCAAAGTTTATGATACCATTGATATCTATAAACTGCGTTTGTCTATCTAAGAGAGTCTATATTAGTCAATAAATTCTTGTTTTCTTTCCATAATAACATCAAAAACTGATATATTGCTGACTAATAGTTTGATTTTTGATCTATTATAGTACTTTGACGTAAAATTCACGTTGAAAGATTTCTTGTTTGATCACTTCTTCTGAAGCGGATTCATATTATTATATCATCATACTGGAATATTTCCTAGAGGATAGTATGGGTTATATAATACTATAAAAATACTAACAGATTATCCAATTAAGTCTATATAAAGAAGCTTGGACACTAACATGTGTGAAATAAATCTGATAAATTTTGAAATCTATTTATTTGATATAGATAGCAGCTAGTTTAGTGTGACAAGGAATATCTTCATTGACGATCTATTATTTTTATTACTAAATTTAGAGATATTATTTGATTAGTTTTCATTTAAAGAAGCTTATTCCATTATTTTTTATACTTCGTATTCAATGTCATCACTGTTACAAGCACTGACTTTTTTTGTCAATAAAAGAATGTCTATTTTGATTATAATTAAATGACTAAGAATAAAGTAAATAAATCACTGTTGACAAACAATATTTACTATGTATGAGAATATATTTGAGTTATTTGATCTGTTTGTACTTAGTTACTGTCTTTTAAAATAGGTTTTATTGTAATATTTCGTAGTTTCACTTCGATCAAAGCCATAATAGATAATAGATATTTTTTGCTATATACAAAATGCAATAAAATTCCATTATTATGATGTTTACTCAATTCCATCGGTCATATCATTTTATCTTCAAAACCTACAATATTCTGTGAAATAAGACTGAAGACTTTTTAGCAGATAGATTTTATCTCAGAAGAATGTTTAACAAGAAAATGATGATTTCATCTTTGATGAGAATTCGTGTTGAAAAGTACTCTTGAAACAGTGATTATACAAGAAACTAAACTGGAATTACTCCGAATTTAATCTTATAGACTTACATAGGGAAAAATACGAATCGTTGCAATTTTTACAGGTTGTTGACACCAATCGAATAAGTATGTATGTAATTGAATCACTAGATTGAATAACAGAAAAAAACAAACGAAAATTATGTACTACATTTTTAGTATTAAACATTGTATATGTTACCTGTTTCCATTAAATTTAATGCTTTACGAGTTTCAAAATCGATCTCAACAACTTGATTAGATACATTCACTGGAACTGTTATTTAAATAGAAATATTTTGTTCGTGAATTGAGATGATGAAAAGAAAAAAAAATCACACTTTACCGAATGGTGTCTTTTCATAAGCTACAATGGCTTGATGTAGTCGTTCACATATAGTATTGATGAATTGATCGATATTAGGATGTCGTGTTGATCTTCCATTCGGTAATATGATGTCGAAACTTAGTGACATTGATAATATACTGATAAAAAACAGACCGACTTTTTATTCTAATCTAAGGAATGAACTTGCAATTTCTCACTTGGCAATATTCTCTCGTACAATTTCAAACTGATGATCAAGCAATTCTTTAGCAAAATTATTAATAGCACACCAAACTAATGGAATACGCCATTGAAAATTTCTCAATTCTTGCACTAGACGCCATCGAAATCTTTCATTAGATGCACTTTCTATTGTTTGATTATTTTTAATCAATGAGCAAAGGAAATCAATTAGCCGATGCATTCGACGAGGATCTTGATTTTCCTTATAGATACAAAAAGATAATTAGAAAAAAAGAAAGACAGAAGTTGCATAGAACAACTGACCATGCTGTACTTGAAACAGAAAGCCCAGTAAGAATAATTATCACTACTTAGATTGTTGCAAACATCTGTGAGAAACGGAATGAGATTCTTCCAGAGTTCATCAAGCTAAATTAATTATATTGAATAAATATAAAGATAAGATAATGAAAAATTCTTATTCACCATTTCTAATGTCCAATATTTTGAACCACGAATCATGCCAGCTACAATTTCGGCTGCA